GGGGGGGGGGGGGCACGTACCAACCGAGGTGGGCATCTCCCCCCATTGCAGCACCACATCTTTGGTGATGCGGCCGTAGGTGTTGACGTAGACGCCCTCGTCCTCGTAGCACAGCAGCATCTCCATGCCGTCCGTCTTGGGCAGGACCACGATGGCGTGCGGCGTCACCTGACCTTGAATCTGAAGAAAAAAAAAAAATTATGTAAAAATTAATAATGTTTTAGTGTAATGTTGTGATCACAGCGGCGATCGTGATCATTTTGGTCCTGATGATCGCGCGGTGAAATTTCCCCTGGTTTCTTTTCTACCTACATGCGAGGGTATGTAGATATCGTAGGGGTTGCCAGAGTCCACATCCACCACATGGAAGCCCGCGTTGGAGCCGTAGATGACCTTTAACCTCTGCCCCTCCTCCACAGTCAGGTCCACCAGCAGGGGGCGGTGCTGCAGTTCGGTGAAAGACTGACGCCAGCCACAGCAAACGTTAAGGGGCATTTTATTTCTGCACAATGAACCCCGATTAATCGTAACAACGAACCCCGATTAATCGTACCTTCTAGACCCACCCAAGATATAAAATGACCATATAAAGATATCTGTATATGTTTTTATAGTTTTAATCCCTCCCACATACATTTAAGCTTGCAAAAACAAACAAACTATTTAAAAGACACTTAAATATTATTCCTTAGCACCTGTTAGTAGGCAGGAGTACAATCATAACACATCACTGAAACAAAATGAAGACTCGCGAGCTTTTTTTTTTCTCACACTCCCAGTCGAGGTTGACTGTAAAACTGCCACATAAAACAATCTTGCTAAGCATGAGGGAGTCTTTACGCTCTGACTTTTTTTTTCTCACCAACGCACGCAAACCTGGACGCCGCGCTGCACCTAGCTAGCTTCCGCCTCCGCCGAGCCGATCGCGACCCGGAGCTAGCGGGGAAATCAAAAGGCGGTGGAATACGCTTTTATATCTACGAAGCTCAACGCACACTGCAGCCCGGACTTGGAGTCGCGGTTTCTAAACTGTCAGTAGTTCTACTATTCTATGTTTACAGTCCACCGCTAGCTAACGCAGCGCTACAAACGCTAGCTGAGCAAGGAAACAAACTCGAGCTAAAGCATGAAGAGATGGACCGAATAAAGGAAAGCCGCCACTACAGGAATGCTTGGATTACACTGACCGGGGAGGTGTCTTTGAAATTTTAACTGTCAGCCTGGACGAATACAATGACGCCGTGACATCATCCATCTGTTTCTGTGAGGACAAAAACAGGGACGCACCTTGAAGGCCATGAACTTGTGGTAAGGTTTGGGAGCCCAGGCGTAGATCTCCACGGCGTTCTTCAAGGCGATCACCAAGAATTTGATCCTCTCATACTTCACTGCGGCCAGAGTTGGGAGGTCAGTGTTCGGAAATCAGTTCAAGTCCGTGCGAGTCCCTGCGTGGCAACGGCGCGAACGAGATCTTCGTACCGACTTTGTAGTGCACGCAGCCCTCCAGATCCCCCACGGTGATCCAGCCTTGCTTCTTTTCCACCTCGGGGTCGTTGTGGAGTATTCGGTTCCTTAACCAGGACAGGTAATAAACGCGCAGCTTGTTCTTCTTGCCTGGACACATGTGCAACCTCATCATCATCCGTTGATTTTCAGTGACTGATTCATTTGCAGTGGACCCCCATTAGATTTATTTTGTTTTGAAGAAATTTTAGACGACAGTGTTCAAGCGTGAGAGTCCACCTGAGATGGTGACCAGGACGTTGAGGCCTTCCAGGACGTCCATCTGCTGGAAGCGTCTGCGGTTGATGAGGTTGTACACTTTGCCCTGCCCGCTACGGTCCAGCAGCATCAGGCCATTCTCGGTTCCCACGAGCAGGTTCACCCCTACAGGCACACGCACAAAACGTCAGCTTTGTGAGAACAGATGGCACTGGACCAACCCAATTTTTGGATCATTTGTTGTTTGCATTTTCATGTGGCAATCGAAAAAGTACCTGTGTTGCTCCACCATCTGTGTTCAAATATCCATTGCTTCTAAAACCGCAACTGTCGATGCTAATTAGTAAGTCAACTGTGTTTTGGTTTCTTAGCGTTAAGCTAAACAGATTTTTGAGACGTTTTAGGACGTTTAGCGATGCTAACAACAGCCTGCCAATGGAGTTTTGCATTGTTTGTTGGCAGTTAGCAAAGCCGACCTAAGGCCAAAGCTATGTTGTTTAAAATTCCGCGGCGAACAGGTTTCTAAAACCGAGACTATCAACGCTAACAGCTAGCAAGCCAATGGCATTTTCCATCATGTGTTAGCTGTTCTCAAGGCATTCGTCGTTCTCACCCCAGAGCGCGGCGCACAGGATCTCGGAGTTGAAGCGCTTCTTGTACTTGCGGATCTCGGGCGTGTCGCTGTGCGGCCGGATGTTGGTGGGGTTGACGTTAACCACGGAGATCTTGCGGGCCTCGTTGAGCCGTGCCTGCTCCTGCTTCAGCAGCTCGTCGGCAAACAGCGCTACGCCACGACACAAAACAAATGTTACAAAAGCAGGGTCCGCATTAGTGTTTTTTTTTTTTTTTTTTTTTGAAAGCCACATCAGCCACACCTGAAGCAGAGATGTCCTCGTCTTCTGTCGGGGACGTCCCATACACCCTGGGATCCACAAATGGTGTGAAGGAGGCCTTGGAGCCTCCGCCGCCGCCGCCTCCTCCTCCCATCCCGTACTGCGGGGAAACGACAAAAAAAAACAGAGCTTAGGCACAGGCGGATGAGTTTCTAAGCAAAAGTCTTCAGTCAAAAGTTTTGACAGGTTGCTATGGCGACAGCAGGCAGGATCTTTGCGGGTCAAAGGCCAGGCGAGGGATCTTGGGCTGTGCTGGGAACCATTTCCAAATCACAATTTTTAAATAGTGGATGATATAGTTGCATCTAGGTCGGAAATGGTGAATCGAATACTGCGTAATCACTTCTTTATTTTTTTTTAACAAAGTGCACCATCGTCAACTCATCAGTCAAATGACAAAAATCACTTTGGAATGTTATTGGAATGACACCAGATGAACTTCAGGAATTTTTTTTTTTTGATATATTTGTTTCTCACTATTTTTTCCATTGTGGGATACATTGAAGGCCACCAAATAGGGGCGTGGTGGGCATAGGGTACGAGAGAATGGACCAGGAGTGATTCCCCACACAGCCAGGCTGGAGGGAAGACTTCCAATTACCAAACCAATAAACGGGAAACAGTCGGGGTGGTCACCGGGAGGGATCATGGGGTTGACGAGGAGATGTTTGGTTTCGTCGACAAAACCTACTTGTGCCCCGGGAGTGTCGCCAGGGGCAACATGGGGGGAGGGGCTTTGCTGCACCAAATCGGGGAGATTTGAGGCGTCGGCAAATAAATTAGCGATGCCGAAGACGCCGTTGCTGGCGGTGGAACTCCGCCGCCGCTCGCCACGCCTCTGGAAAAAGACAGACAGGTGGCGGGCAGCGCGGGTGTGATTGGCAGGTGAGGGGCTGGAGAGAGCAATGGTGAAGGGTGCTTTGTCGAAGGGCGTGTGGGTACTCGATCCAGTCACGATTTGGTCATGAGCCTGCTAAAGGCGATCGGTTGTTTGTTGACTTGGTGAAGAAGCATGTGGTTCACCGCGGCAGCAAACGATGAGAGGACGCTCACCTCGCGCATCATCAGGGTGCTGTCCCGAGAGTTGTTTCCGTACATGTTGCCGTGTAAGTCGTTGTGTCCTCCCATCATGCCCTGCGAGTCATTGGCTCCTTGGCTGGCAGCGGGCCTGGAAAGGAAATTATGGAAATGATTTCTTTGGAACTTACTCAGTCCTCGGAAGGACAAACGTTTCTCTCTTCCGTGTTGTCATTTTATGGAAATACCAATCAAAAACTGTGTGCTGCAAAGTAGTGAATCGCCTCTGCTAATTTCTGTTAGCCCGTCTATGACATTTCACATTTTATGTTAGCATTAAGCTAGCAGACTTCTTTTTTTTTTTATCTATCTCAACTGGTATAGGCTCCAGCATACCTGCAACTCTCGTCAGGATAAGCGACCCAGAAATGGGATTTATCCATCTATCAAGCTTGTCTCACGCACACAAGAGTGGAAAATACTCACATGATGCGCGGTATGTCGCTCACGGCAACCGTCCCGTCGTTTGCTCCTCCCTCCCCGTCACCGTCCTCATCCTCGCTGCTGTGCGACTCCTCGCTGGATGACGAGTAGTCGGTGACCTTGACGGGCGGCCGGCTGGTTTCTTCGCCTTGGCGCAGCTCTCGCAACTCTTTGGCCAACGCCGTCAGGTCCTGGCAGGGACATAAAGCAGAAGGTTAATTCTGGTGGTGGAGGAGTTCAGAACCTCTCGTTTTTTTGTCCTTCATCACAGTGACAAGTCCAATGGTGCCAAGGAACTATTTCGATGTGGTCGACAGTTTTTTGGCTGTACATACGGGAGCCTAGTGGACTGTAAAAGCAAAGCTCACTAAAATGGACCCTTGTGGGGGACGCAGGGGTCGGGGAGGGTTTGTTTGCACGTGCTACATGCTGGGGAGGAAATAAGGTCAGGGAAATTTTGCACCCTCAAAACGTTAACTATTAAACAGGGAGAGGTGGTGACCATATTTACAGTACATAGACACCTCATGGCCCGGTGCTGTGATCCGACGGCCATTTTGTAAATTCAAGTCATTGGAGTAAAATTCAGAAAGCAACTACCGGGTGGCGTCTATGTCTATGGCAGTGAGAGGAAGGTGGTGCAGGTTCATATCGGACACAACATGATAAAAAAAAAAAAAAAAAAAAAAAAAAAAAAATCAACAATCC